GAACTACAAGCTACGCAATATAATATAGATGACATGTTGTTTTTTGTCCATATTATAGTTCATAAAAACGTTCGAATATATTAAAACACTTAAATTGAAGTAGAAATACCTAATTTTTAACGTAAAAGATGAATTTGCAAGAAATTATTAATATCGACCGACACAATCAGACAATTTTTAATAATAAATAATTTATAAACGTTGATGTGCACTTGTAGTAAATGCGTGCTAATAAATCATACAAATAGTGGCACGATATTTATGAATAAATTAGGGAAAGTATGCACATACTATAATCGATTTACTTTAACTACTTACAATTTTTTTTTAAACATTTATTTCAGACTGAAATCATGCGGATCTAATATTGAGAGTAAAAAACATTTATAATATTATATTATAGAAAAAAACCTTACATAGCATGATATAGGTATATGCTTATAGTAAAAATATCTTTACAGATTGTATTTTCAAATAAATGTTAAAAATAAAAAAATAAGACTTTAATGTATATATATATACATGTAGCAAAACCTCCCTAAAAGTAAATCGCTTAGCACCAAATGACTTTTCCGTTATAAAGGAGTTTCCATTACAGTGAGACTAAAATATACGGAATATATAGGTTTTACGGGACTGTTGGTATTTACCACTGTAAGGAGATTTCGTCTTACGGTTAGTCCGTTATATAGAGGTTTTACTGTATAAATACATACACACACTGTATAAATTACATTTTAAAAGTAAAAAGTATTGATACTTGGGGTTATTGTTTTCGTGAGTAATTTATTATATTCAGTTTATTTTATAGGTCACAAGATAAGTAATTTTTAAATTTTCATGTTCAAATAAATCAGTTGTACAGTTTATTAAAAGTGTAGTTACATATTCAATGTTTAAAAAAAATCGACATTTTCTTTTTGTATAAGACATAACAAATTGTATTTTATTAATATTAAATTTATTTGCTGAAAATTGCTTTAACGAAGTACGATCGATCGTTAATTACAAATAATTCACTAGATTTCAACATATTGTCTTATATTATGCTATCCTACTTTTTTTTTTGGCGATTAACTTATAAGTTATAAAAGTAAATTACAGTGTTGGAACGATATTTTTAAATATTCAATCGATTAGATCGTTTCTTCGTTATTTTATATATTTGTTTGTCTTAACATAGGGTATGCCTGTTATACTTTTAATTGTTAAAGTTTTGTGACTTTCTGATCATAAAATAAAAGAACATTTATTTTTTATTTTTATAGAAATTCAAATTGTTTGTTTCTTAGCAATTAAAATACACTGCGTAAGACAGTAAGATGAATGATCCAGTTTCTCTATATTTTCTATTGTATGATTTTTTTATATTGACAATTTAAGCCACATTTTTTTTGATTTAACATTTATTGGTAAAGAATTTATAGTTGAATTCTTTAGTAAAATTAAAAATACCAATAAATCAGTTAAAATGTATACATATGGATTATGTGTCCTCATCGACTGCAATATAACAGGAGCTATCAGCCACTGAGTTACCTTTAAAGCATTTACCGTTTATTTAGTTTACAGGTACCATAGCCCTATAATAATATTTCATTTAGCCTTATTGGATACGACAACTGGTATTATAATAAACAATTCTAAGAACATGATTATTTTTGTTTTAAGTAAAGACTACAACTTTTGATATTTAATAAGTTTTTTTGCCCACTTATTTACTATTCAGTAGGTATTCATACTTGCAAAAGAAAAGAATATTGAATTAAAAATTTTAAAAAAGATTATTAAGTAAAGTAAAGTAAATAGAATTTTTATCGCTGGGTTCGTTCGTTTTTACGCTTTTAAACTTAATATAAATATATGACTTATAAACTGCCTCAATTCCATATTTCCATATAATAAATGATAATTATTGTAGACATTTTAATTTATTAAAATATAATTATTACAACAAGTCATTACAACAAATTTCTGGTATAGTATTATGATTTGAAATTGATTTCTGATTGTACACCACGGTAATGAGTATTTCAGTATTTCGTCATCTTTAAGTAGAACAAACTCTAATAATTTCATTTCGGTATGTACGTGACTTTTTGAGATTTTTACTTGTTTCACAAAAAGCTATTTTGGAAAGTAAATAAAAAAAAAACGCACATCATTGTAAACCAATAGATTGCACGGCTCAAGTTCGTAACGATTTCAAATGTTATTCCTTGTGCGATCCCAATGTTGTTACGCTCGTTGTGTATAGTTATTGTTATATATTATTATTATTATACACCTCGAACTGTCATTAACATGCCACTGAAGCTTACGGTATTATTGTTGATTAATTAAAACTCCATTAATGTTTCTGAAGCATGACTAATCCTTTGGAAAAGTTCAAGCATCTGGAACTTATAATGTCGTATATTGTTATGTTTCATTTGGCCAACCAGAATTTTATAAATCAAACAATACAATAATATAATTAGGTATACGATATTATAATATATTTATATGTGTGCACGATATTTACAAAATAATATTACTACTATCATAGTATATACCTACAGTGAGTCGATTTAAAAAAATACTATTGCTTTGTACCTACACACAATTGCTCCGCCGACCAGTAAAATAATGGATTATTTTTTTTTATTTATTACCTATAATATTATCGTTATTGAACCATCGTAAAAAATAATGAGAAACCGATGTATGATGACCGTCTTCGGCGTTGAGTTTGTAGTTATTACGATGTATATTTTTAATCAAACTGTATCTCATAACAATAAAATGGCTTTGGCACAGGTTTGATGTGGACGTTATTTATTACGACATGACGTCGTCGAAATGAACGCGTAGGGTCGGATTTAAGGCTGTTGGAGCTGTGCGGGGGCACAGGTCTGCACACAATTCAAAGGCTTCGAAGCCTGTTGCAAAATTAAATCATATGGTTCATATAGTTCATTATTAGATTCAGATTCGTCGATTGGCTTAAAATCGGACAGTTTCCAAGGCCCTAAAGTAACGACCAAAACTCAATGAATAAAGGCCCAGCCAATACATTTCACGCGTAGACCCGATTTTCCGCAAGCCAGCTGAGCAAGCCAGGTGACTTTGCTACCCTGAAATACATATACATATAATATATTATTATACCAGGGATGGTGAACTTTTTTCTAGTCACTTGAAAACGTTTTTAAATCAAAGGTTTTAAAAAATTGAACCACCCTATATAATTATTTTCGAAGTAATGCAGTTTTCCAAATTTACTAGTAGGTTTGATGTAGGTATTTTGTTAGTTTTGAGTGTTTCAAACACGATCGGAAAAATCAGTTTCTTCCATCAATATATAATATTATTCTCTCCGTTTTGAACGCCTAGAAAATAGGGTGTTATTTGGCCTAAATAATTCCCACAAGAACATTTCGCTCATATAATAGCCCCGATATTCACCGAGCCGACCATGCAAACAATATACATACTCACATATCATATTATACACTGTGCAGCAGCTGAGGGGTATACTATTTCCGATTTCGGGACACTCGACTACCGACAGTTTGTGTATACGACTCGTCAGCAATGTATTTATCCAGCCACTACTACAACCATACTTACGAGTGGCCAGATCGATTAAAACATAATACAATAATATTATATATAGTTGTAACTTGTAATAATTATTGTATACGTGTTCGTCGACGTCGTCTCCGGATTTACGAGACCTGTGGGTAGAGATTTGACGTACACCCACGCGCGATTTCAAAGTTTTCTCGCAGGACAACTATTATACAACTGCGGAGGGAACGGGACAGTAAATTATTATTATTACTACTGTTGTTGTTGTTGTTGTTGTTGTTGTTATTATTCACACGGAGAAACCTTTGAAACGTGCCAGAGAGATTGTCAACGCTCGCGCATCACACCACTAGTATTATACGTACCTAATTATTTGTCGGGTTTATATTACACGTCATATACACACGTATCGTGATGATATACTTATTCAGCTCTTATCATATAACGGCACATATATTTATAGATCGTTTTCAGTGGTCGGAGGTGGTTAGAAAGCACTGAATATTATAATGCACTGCCGCTACAGTGGCATCGGTGCATTTACGCGAATTGAGACAACTATAATGTTATACTTTATGGACTATTTTTCTGCAAGTTCTTAGTTGGGAAAACAATACGACTATAGCAATACAATCCCATTGAATCACCAAAGCACTATACGAATGTGTTCAATTTGCCAATGTCCACAAAAACATATTTCCCATGTTTTCTTACAGCACCGGTTTCGCATAGCACTACAATATTATGCACTATAATATGTCAGTAATTTCTGAATTTTGTTGTGATGCGCAGCAAGACTAGATTGGTAAAATATACACTAATAGATTTTTATTAATTTTATATTGACTAGGAAATAAAATAAACTATTTTATTAGCCATAAATTTTTAATCCTCGTAAAAAAATAGAGTCCAAGAAATCGAAAATCGCGGTGTTTACAAAAGCAAATCGTAACGTCGCTCACTCCAAACGGCACACTACGCGGGCGAAGAAAAAGCAAATAGCGACCACTGATTATTATTATTATTGGGGTTATATACCTTGTAGACGGCAGTTGGCGAGTATTTGATGTATAGGCCACACACATATATGGTGTATATATAATACACATATACATATATATATATAGAAAGGGGAGGGTTTGTGCGGGGTTAGGGTGGGGGTGGAGGAGAGGGGCGGGCGGACAGAAGGAGACACATATACACACACGGGCATACACGTACACATTATATGGTTCGAAGGGCGGTGATCGGGGAAAGACTGCAGTGCGGGGGATCAACCGTGAGGTCGGGTCGGCGGGGGTGGCGGGTGAGACTTTTGGCCGGGGGTGCGTGGCGTCGCGCTTGCGTCCCTCCGCCGCAGAATCTCACCGCGCGCGCCAGCCGTTTGCCGCACGCACCGACGAGGAGAGTCAGTCGTCCGGCGTCCTGCGCCGTGGGATATCACGCGAGCGCACCGGTCCGCTCGACAGCCGACTCCGAAGTCGCCGCCGCGGGTCCAGCAGATACGCGTGTGCACAGACTTCGCCGCCGCCGCCGCCGCCGCCGCCGCCGCCGCGGACGACCTTATAGAGAGCCGACCGAACGTAGTACGGTGTATACCAAGTGTCCGTCATCGAACCACACACTCGGTCGCCAACACATCCCGCGGTGGTCGCAGCTATATTGTGCAGTCCAATTACGACACACACGCACCCGCCGCCGTCGATTCCCGCGAGTATACCCAGGTATGATATGACGATAAGGTACACACTACCGTTGCTGACGAAACGAACCGAACATTTTTTTTTTTTTGTTTTTGTTTTTAAATCCACGGCAAAAGAAATCCTATTCTGGCGCGCTCGTGTGCATTACCCCTCGACCGTCTTGTCGTATCGTCACCGAGGGTTGCTTTTAAAAACGCATTACGTGTGGTATAATTACGACGACGCCACTGCAGGTGCTGGCAGGGTGGAAGGACGGTGACTAATTGACACCCATGAGTTCGCGGGGCTTATAATATAATAATATTATTACTATTATCATCATTAAGTGCATTTTCAGTGGTTTATTTGTATTCCAACCGTTTTTTTTTGTTCTTAACGAGATTACGTTTTTTCGCTCGTTCATCCAAGCCGGGTGCAGTGTGAATACCTATGAGTTTGGGTTTTACATCCGGGGGCTCCCCACCACGGAGTATTAACACACGCTTGTTCCAAATATTGCTATATGTCGTAGATATACTTATATAGCTATTACACGACACAAGAAGGTAATTTAACATTATTTCGTTCAACTTTGAGCAGTATTTGACGTCACGAAGTTTCACAACGATTTCAATAGCGAAAAATGCACCCCCTACAGACTCGGAAGTTTTCGTATAGGTACCTATAGTGCTTATCTACCTACACCACATAATAATAATAATAATAATAATAATATTAATAATATTATAAATACGAAACGTGCGCGGTGGGCTTGTACGACAGCACCGATACAAGGGGGCGTACCGCGCCTGTATATCATATACTATAGGTTGTATAGAACGAGATGGCTAGGGTCCAATTTTCTCGCTTCCGGAAATCGTTTTTGGGGTCAAAAAGTCGAATTGTATACGACACAGCGGAGGTGGCAGTGGCCGAGTCAAAATATAACCATAACGAGATTCGCTGCAACTTGGAGCTGGTCGAAAGTTGTGTACAAAAATTATATAATATGCGCACAATATTATTATAATGTTACGAAATGATGATTTTGCCATGATTATGATGATGATGATAATAATAACAACGAGTCGTACCTATACCTATTAATATTAATATGTTTTTGGCGTCTCGTTACCAGTCACGGTATGCACGTGGGTGAATAATAATAACAATAATATTATATATTGCCACATACGCGTTATGTTATCGAGAGGTTTCTCGTCACTTCTGTAGTTGTAACGTCTAAATGTAGATTTGTCTCACGTCGTTTACTCGTTTTTTGACTTATTCCCGGATAGGTTCAGCGGAGTAGTCGCCGCCCATCAGCAGTTTTGTCCAGATTTTCTAAGTGCGGTCAAGTATTTAATTTTTTATGAAGATTGCTAAAATTAATAATGGTATGGATAATATTATATAATTTATTAATAATTAATACTCTGTTCTATTCTAATAGTTGTTTTTCACATGCCTTGTGAAAATACACTGATAGGAACGGATGAAAAATTTGAATTTAAAGTGATTGTTATAACTAAAAATTAGAAATATTATTTAGTAAATAATAAATAAATGTTTAAAACAATGAGATCATAAAATATTTTCGAAGTAAGAGTTTTGAGTTTTGGAAAAAAAACATGGTTTTACATAAGTGTTTGAGGGGGTATCTTATGGTTGATGATTTTTATTTTACTTTTTTACTGGGAATATCATAAATTTATGGAAATATACATTTCCATAATTTTGAATCAAAATATTACACTCGTTCACGTTATAAATATGCTTCGTGTTTAACTGTGAGCACCATAATCTTAAAACGGTGTGTATTTATATTGGTAATTATGCCATTATAAATAATAATATTTTCAACAATTTTGTAAATGTTAACTAGTACGTATAATATATTGAAATATGTTTAAATTAAAAAATGATTTCGATTATTTATGTAATATATTTTTATTCACAAACATAATGTAGATCTATTGTATAATATAATGTAATGCAATAATAGTATGCAGTTGTAAGGAAAGTGCAAAAATAAAACATGCGAAGTCATAAAAAAACTGATTTCATTGTTCTTTCTCATGGATGAAAATAATTATTTCGTAAAAAAGTCAATAGATTAAAAATGTTGTTAATTATGCTTATTTAAATTTACCAACGACGTTTATTCGTAGATACCCATGTCATAAAAATGGTATGAATTCACATCACATCATGATATTTTTAGACTTTGGAGTATAATTTGATTCAATAATTGTATACCTAAATGTCTTTAATCATTTTCAGAATTATTGTAAAACATTTAAAATAGTATAGGAGCCTATACTTAATCATTAGTTTTTTGATAGGTTCTAAAAATTAAGCTTTAAAAGATTTACGTTAACGTAAAAATACTTTCTAAAGCTGTAAGATGATATCTGCGGAGTATGAAAAACAAATTACCCACGGAAAGTATAATGTTTTTCACAAAACCAGATAAATACACAAAACACATTATTGTTTTTATTTTTACAAAGTTCTTGTGGGAATTGACTTTTTAAAGTAATAAGAGATGAATAATTTTTTTTTATTTCATCACAGAAATATCAAAATGTGGATCTTTTTTTTATGTATATTTCCATGCATTAAATACACACCAGGGTTGTTATTTTTATCTGCAAAATGTGAAAAATTTAAGGAAAACCCATTATCATTTCCCCGAAATATACCTGCTTATAACTTATAAGCATACAGTTTACATAAAAATGCATAATACGTATACTATATGCTAGTATGCAGACTGGGTTTAATATTCCAAATTAAGTATTCTAAAACCTTTTCAAGTATTTAGAATACTTTAATAGTATTGATATAAAGTGTGTTATTATAATATTTAATGTAATTTAATATTTATTGTTGTGTTGTAAATCATAGGTTGTCCTAGTTAAGTTATACAAAATACAATTGTAATATATTGTATTATAAATTATCATTGGCTATAATTTTCAAATTTTTTTGAAGACAATAGTATCATTATTTAAATATTTAAAATAAAAAATATCCTGAAAGTATCTTAAATACTTGTACATTATTTGACGATGTATCAAATCTATATTCGTAATACTATTTTTCATAAGTATCTCAGTATTTATTCCAATTTTTTATATCTAGTCTGCCAGTAAATACTGCAACGATGGGATATTGAATGATTTTAATATTAAAATCAACATCATAATACTTGTCTCTTTGTTAACAGTCCTATAAAAGTAATAAGTATTATGTTATAAACTATATTATATTCTTTATTTAAATATATTTTTTTTTTATAGTATATTTTTCAAATTGATTTTGTTGTGGCACAACTGAAAGAAAAAATTCATTTGACGTCTAACGAACAATACAGCTCAGGAGGTGCATTATACGTCACTGAATTAGTGATTGTTTAGATTTGACTTGGTAACCTAAGTTTTGAAGGTAGTAATAATTATCAAGTAAATACTTTTTTCAATTTTTTTTTAATCTAGTTCTCTTCTATTAGTTTCACAATTTTGGTATTTTTCTTTTTTTAAATAATAAATATGTCGTTTTTCTTTTAACGTATAGTAGAGGAAAGTTTTTCTTACAATTTAGTAATATTATGCTACATTAGTTAGAATTTTTTTTTCTTTTATGGCAAAACTTACAATCAACATGGCTCAAGTCACGTTAACTTGAACGATTAAATACGGTAGTCATAAATTATTTTAATTTAATTATTATTCTATATATCACCAACAAACTTCATATACCATTTAAATGTTGTAAAATATGTTGATAGTTTATATAATGGAAATATTAACACCAATAACTTATTTAGATACGCACTTGTTGTTATTATGTTGCATTTCCTATGCTTCCTTTTTTTAAATACAGAATAGTTAAGTATGGTGGCTATCGCAGTATATTCCGTCCCATAGCAGAGTGTGAATAATACCTAGAGAAGTGGCCTAAATAAACAAACTAAATATGTAGGATCAGAAAACCCTGTACCCAGGAGAGCTTATAAAAGGATTTATATTATGAAGTATATGATACTCAGTTAATTTATATAGTTAAGTTCCCTTAGCTATAATATGTATAATAACACTAATCTGTTTGCAAAACGTTAATATTATATGAAAAATAGGGATTTAAAATTATCTTACTACTAGGAACAAACAAGTTTTATTTTACAATGTTTTCAATTTTATTTAAAATAGATTTAAATGTGTTTCGGGAATAATACTAATAATAACTTTGTGCAGATGAAAAAACATATGATAAATAGACAATATAATATATATATATATATGTACTAATAAACACATACAAGATAAAATAATAAAAAATATAAGATTATCTTTAAATATTATAGTTAAGTTGACTATAGGTATTCAAAACGCCATGCGATTTAGCATCATTATTTATTAATATTAAACCACTTTTTCTTATTAATTATTAATTATAATATTGTAATTTTATTGTTAATAATTACTGTGCAATTAAAATAAACTTATTTATAAACAAATTAGATTGATATTTACATACGTTTAGTGGCTATATGGATAATTGTAAGTATTACATATTAATATATTATCATATTGATCGGAGCAGTGTATTATGTAATAAAGATTTTTTTCATAGCATTATTTGAAATAAATAATAATATACAAATTGTATGATAGTTAAAAACAATTAATTACATTTTTTAAATATCGGTGAATGATGGTTATATTTAACGAGCTTTGAATTAAAATGCACATAATATTATTATATAAGTGAAAAGGCCAACTATTAAATATCGATTACAAGTCGATTAGCTATTAACGTATTTATAATGAACTACGATGTACTTACCTATATTTTATAAATTAAAACATTTTTTATTATTATTATTATTATTATTTATAATTCATGATTATAGTCATGGATGCGTATTGTAGCAAGCTGGATTATATTTTTGCTCTAATGTATGATTCGATTCAATTTTTCACTACCTAATAATTAAAAGGTAAATTAAATGAATATTTGGATACTATAACTGCTGCAGCAGGTGAACAACTTTGCTGTAGAAAAAATAAAATTTTTAGTGTTTATAAGATTTTATCATGTTACACATATTTTAGATTCATCTTAATAGCATAAAGTTTCCATCATCTCTTGCTTTTATATTATCTTTACATTTTGCGTTATTATTTCAAAACCAACGACCATGGCTAATTTAACAAACAGAGCTTTGAAATACATAATTATAGTAAGAGTTTTGTTCACTGGATGTACTATAGGTGTATGATAAATGTTCTGTTAAATAAAATATTTGCCAATATGGAAATTAAAGGCATGGTTTATTAAATGTTTTACCTTTAAATCGTATATTCTGAGTATTTTACGATTTTAGTTACATTTTAATTTCATTAATTAACTATTTTAAATTAGAACACTAATCTTTTTTTACACGACACTTCGAAAACTTCTTCGACAATATTTATGTTTACGTACATAAATTACAAGTTACAACACATTACGGATTAGAGTAAAATGTACATGACGTATAATTAATGAAGGTAATGTACATGACGTATAATTTTGAGTTGAGTATTATGAGTTTATTCATACTCTGGTGATTGTAGAATGTATTATTATTTTATTAGTTATAATTACAATTATTGGTTAGCGGTGGTTACACCTGTTGTCCTAATTGTATTATTTGGACGTTTAGAATTATAGTCAACTACACTGTGATCAATAGTCAATTACAACCGTCACGATTGTTCTCTACGTTAACTGTTATTACCTAAGTTTAATGGAAACGAAGGAAAAAACACAGAATTGGTTTCGTTTATATGCGCTTCGTTCGGATTACTATCAGTAAGTCACATATTCAGCATTCTCATCTATCTTCGGGCGGTCATGGTTAGTCTGGTCTACATAATTGAAATTCATAAACATTTGTTTGGTACATAAATTATTCCGTGATAACGAAATAGCGTTGTTCCGTTACAGATAGCGTTTTACGATGAAATGTATTAATTTAACATGTTTTATATCATTTTAAGTGATTGGGATTCATGATATTTGAGTTATTGATCTAATACAATAAGATTACTTATTTTCTAGGCCAAAAATGTATTTGAGCTTATAATCTTATGAAGAAGCGATATGTTCGATGGTGTACAACATATTTTTTTAACAGTGAACAAAGAAATACCTACCAAAACTTAACTTAAAATATTGCCATTTATTTGTATAATAAATCAATTTGTGTGGCCTAGCTGGTGTGGAGCAGTGTTTGGCCTCAGTTATACTAACATGTTCTTAGGTCAAGCATTAGCTGGTATATCACTAGTTCCCGGATGGGGGAACACTGGGGATTTAGTGACAAATCGTCACCACATATACACGTGTTCTGACCAACCGTACCCTCCCGCAGTAATAAACCTACTAAATAACCTAGGCTTATGATCTCAGATGTCGATACAATAAAAAAAACCAATGTTATTTGTATATATATTGGATGTAACCACTAAGTTTAAATACATAATAATCAATTAGAGTCACTTCTACTCGATCAAAATAAAACAATGTTAACGTTTTATTTTATTGGCATGTTTGATATTTGTCTCCGAAAAAAGTTGTTTGAAGGTACTTATACACTCAAATTTAATATAAATCGTATTTGTTATTAGAGAAAGATTTATATTTACTAACAATGAAGCATTATTCTGTAATAAGAAATTTTTTTAGTAAAACAAAAACAAAAATATTTCCATAACATCATATTTAATCTATTTGTAGTCGATCGGATTTACATAAGTTGTAAAAAAATAAAAATAAATCATTTTCAAGGTAATGGTAGATTTAATGAAGTTTTTATAATTGGACACGTAGACATTTATTAATTTATTGTATACATCACCACATATACCAATAAAAAAAAAGGTTTATGTGGACCATTTATGATAGGTAGTACACGAAATATAGATATTAATATTATACATTTATTGTGTAGTTGAAATAATTTATGTTTTGTTAAAATGATGTTCATTTCACATCTTCCTTTCGGCCATATGATTATCGAACGGTTATATAGTATAGCGTTGTACACATATTATAATGTGTTGTGTAGTTTGTATTTTATAAAGGATTTTTTCGAGATGTAATGCATACAATAATTCAGATAAAAGCTGTACAATATAATGCACTCTCGAAAATAACGGCATCCATTAAACATTCAGAAGTCAACATTGCCAGCCATGGCAATTTATAAGTCGAGAGAGTTAAAAACTGTTGTATAGTTTCCAGACAAGCATAGTTGATGGACAAGTTTTTAAAGTTTGGTCTCATTTGACCACATTTCTCAATTGGATTTTTTTCGTTTATCTAAATTATATGGTAGGAATGGTATTAACAACATGATTGTGTGCATAATAAGTATATAAAGATGGCTAAACCAATATTTGTATAACCATAGTTACAAAATTAGTAGTTTTTTTTTCATCTTTGATTGCTGGACTGAGCAGAGCTGAAACCAGAAAGTAGAAGTTAGTAAAATATCGAATAGTATGAGGAAGTTAGGAAATCATAGGCAAGTATATGGACTCAGTGTTGACTACAAATGGAGAGGAAAAAAGTAACACCAGAGAGGTAAATTTGAAAAATACGACTGTCGAAACAGGAAAAACCAAAATGTTTAAATTGTAAATAATTTCAAGTATTTATTGTCACCGTAGCGCCAAGGCGATGTCTAAAAACGTATGTCATATATAATATTAGTATTAAGTATAATATGTGATAAGATGTTTTTATTTTTTTAGAGCATAATAAACGATGCGTCTGTGGAGGAAAGTGTGTCCAAAAAGGAGAAGTGCTCTCCCTTCCCCCGTGGTTGCGATTTAAACACAAAAAAAAATCTAATATTAATAGTAGCAATAGTAGAGTAGTAGTAATAATAATAATATTAGTAGGTAGTAGAACTGTAGAAGTAGTAGTAGATGCAGGGGTGTGTTCCCAGTGTGTGTGTGGGGGGGGAGGGGAACTCCCCCATATGCTAGCTATTCACTAATGAAAGGGGGGGGGGGGGGGGAGAGTGTCATATCTAACCTAACTCCCTTTTAGATTATTTTTTTTTTGTCATATAAAATATATGATGAAGCAATATGAAAGTATATTTACCGCTATATATAACGCGTGGTCTGAGAATAGTCAACAATTCATATACCCCTTTGAAAAAAGCTGAGCACGCCACTGAGTAGAAGTAGTAGTAGTTAAGTTCCCCAGGGCAAACTGCGATTCATGAAGGAAAAAAAAACGAAAAATAAAAATGTCTGACATAGTATAGGTACCTAAATAGTATAATAAAATATATTATCAGTATCGGCCGGGCAGGCATCACGTATAGTATTCCCATATAGCAGAAATAGTATCCATAATAGACGGTATAATAGTAGTGGTAGTAA